CTTGTACACAGTCTGTGGGATTGTCAAGTGGTGGAAAACAATGTGATGTTTCCTCAAAAATTAAAAATAGAATTACCGCATGATCCAGCAATTCCACTCTGGGTATATGCTCAAAAGAATTGCAAGCAGGGTCTTAAAGAGATCATTGGACACCCATGTCCACAGCAGCATTATTCACAATAGCTAAAACATGAGAACAACCCGAGTGTCCATTGACAGATGAATGAATAAACAAAATGTGGGAATGCACACCAAGGAATATTATTCAGCCTTAAAAGGGAAGGACATTCTGACATGTGCTACAACATGGATGAACCTTAAGAATGTTATGCTGAGGGACGTAAGCCAGTCACAAACAAATACTGCATAATTCCACTTGGGTGACGTACTTAGAGCAATCACAGTCATGGTGACAGAAAGTAGAATGGTAGCTGCCAGGGGATGGGGAGGTATCGTTCAATGGGCATAGAATTTCAGTTTTGCAAAATGAAAAATGTTAGGGAGAGGATGGTGATGTGCACAATATACATTAGGAATCTACTTAGTACCACTGAGGTGTACACTTAAAAATGGTTAAGATTTAATATTTTGGGGGCGCCTGGGTGGCTCAGTCGTGAAGCATCTGCCTTCGGCTCAGGTCATGATCTCAGGGTCCTGGGATCAAGCCCGACATCGGGATCCCTGCTTAGCGGAGAGTCTGCTTTTCCCTCTCCCACTCCCCCTGCTTGTGTTCCTCTCTCGCTGTGTCTCTCTCTGTCAAATAAATAAATAAAATCTTTAAAAAAAAAGATTTAATATTTTGTTATGTGTGTTTCGCCACAATAAGAATAATTGAGAAAATAAACATATATTGAGCAAAAGAAACCAGACTTGAAGGTACATGCTTCATGATCTCATTTATCTGAAACTACAGAAGAAGCAATTCTAATCTAAAGTGACAGAAAGCAGATAAGTGGTTGCCTAGCACCAGAGTTGGAGGTGGTGCCTCGACCACCACAGGTCGAGGAAGGAGCCCCAGAGAATGTTTTGGGGTGATGGGAATGATCTCTATCTTGATGGTGGTGGTGGTTATATGCGTGGGCATATAAATCTGTCAAAACCCAGAAACGTACACTTAAACTGGGTGCATTATATTGCATATAAATCATCCTGCAATAACACAGATTTAAAAAAAAAAAAAAAGCAATGCGCTAGAATAGCAGGAAATTACTGCTTCTGAAAGCAGATAGAGTTCAGGAATAATTTCCTCCATGGCCAGACTAGCACAGCCTCATCGAGATAAAACTGACAGCAATACTTAGAGCTCTTGGGAACAAAGTGATGGTGATACACAAATTGTGGAAACAGCGGTCCTCTATGATTATAAATGACCTTAAAGGTGGCTGGCACATTCAACTAATTGTAACCAGAAAATGAAATAAAGGAAGCGGTCTTTCGATGACTCACAGAGGTGTGTGAGTTATACCCCAGCTTTCTGGAATGCTCCGAGCGGTCATAGGTGTCACACCTTCCGCTGTGACTGCATGGAAGTATAGCCAGGACACACGATACGAATTTCCCTAGATGGAATTCACATGCTTCTTCCCAGGAAAACAGCAAAGCGTCGCTTCTTGACAATAGTTTTGTCTGCAGGCAGATATCTTCTGCCCTTTCTGATTGTTGGTGCTGCTTAACATTAAGAGAAGAAAAAAAGTGACCCCATTTTTCCTTAAACTAAAAAACATGGGGCAAAAATCCCTTTACTTCCAACTGATCACAAACTATTCCATCCTTCTCTCTCTCTTTTTTAAATTGAATTAATTTTTTTTACTTTCTGTTTTTTTTTAAGTACGCTCTACACCCAACATGGGCTCGAACTCAGGACCCCAAGATTGAGTCACATGCCTTACTGACTAAGCCAGTCAGGTGCCCCTAATTTTTTTTAAGTTTTTATTTTAATTCCAATTAAGTTTTTTTACGATTATATTTATTTATTTGCCAGAGAGAGAGAGAGAATGCACAAGCAGGGGGAGCGACAGGCAGAGGCAGAGGGAGAAGCAGGCTCCCTGCTAAGCAGGGAGCCTGATGTGGGGCTCGATCTCAGGACCCTGGGATCGTGACCTGAGCCAAAGGCAGATGTTTTACTGACTGAGCCACCCAGGTGTCCCTAATTCCAGTTCGTTAACATACAGTGTTCTATTAGTTTCAGATTCCCATCCTTGTCTTGAGGAAGCAGATTTTCAGTTCTATGCTTCACTCCTTGATTTTAATTTTTACTTGTAGTTTATTGGTTGGTTTACTCTAATTTTAACTTTTTAAGAATCAACAACTTTGTTGTATTTCAGGGACTCTCTTTTTATGGTCACTTTCTGCTTATTGAAAGTGAGACTTGTTTTCTATTTACAGAGTGAAATAAGGCTTCCTTATTAAAATAAATATATTTTGACGAGAAATGAATCTGTCTAAAGAACAAAATATTACTTATGGGTAATAGGTGGCTTAGGCAAATATTGCAATATTGCTGTACTGCTTATATGTTTGAGGTTTGTTAAAGCCTGTTCCCTTTCCTGCTCTGCTGTTTTGTGGTTCATTGAGAAGGCTGGTGTGCGCTCGTCTGTGGCATCTTGATAAGATGGAGCAGCACCAGGGACACCTGGGTGGCTCAGTCGGTTAAGTGTCTGCCTTCGGCTCAGGTCATAATCCCAGGGTCCTGGGATCGAGCCCCGCATCGGGCTCCCTGCTCCGCGGGAAGCCTGCTTCTCC